GTCAATTAAATTGCGAAACAAGTAAGCTCCAAAATAAAATTAAAACGTTAAAATTATCTGGAATTGGTATAACAAGCCATACGATGCATGCATCAAGTAAGAACAAAAATTCCATAAAACCGCCAAGAAGTCTGGAGTGTTTTGCTCAAAATGACCATGTTCACTGATGTAGGACGCTTAACAGAAAATTTAATTGATGATTCGGACATTCACGAGCTAAATACAGATTTATACTTTCGCAAAGAAACAATTATATCTTTCAATCCGGAAGGCGGATTCTGACATATTATATATGTAAATCGCCTATCTCGACGAGACGCAGACAACCAGATTGACAAATATTTACAATCTCATCAGTTATGCCCAGATTTGGCTGAAATCCGAAAAATAATCAGCCTTTAGTTTATTTTTAGTAATAAAGTTGGAGTCTTTTAGATTAGAAAATAAATTCAATTTTAGAGTCAAATTAGATTAGGAAACAAAATCAATTTTGATTCATGATTTGTTTTCTCTATTATAGGGAGTCTTTTTTAGGATAGAACTTGATACTTTCTAGTTTTGTAATTCTAGTTTTAGTAGGAGTCTTATTTGTTTTATCTAATTAAGAAGAGTGATGCAACCCCCAAAAAAGAATAACTTTTCATCAATAAAATTTCTTTTTTTTCAATATTTTCTTCGTGGATTCGAAGTTCTTCGCGGATTCGAAGATCGTTCTTTGTGGATTCAGAGAACACTATTGGTGGATTCCGGGTTATCACTTCCGCGCTGCGTCAATTGGTATCAGAGCCATGTTCCTCTGATCCGATGGCAGGTGATGAAGCCTTCTCGAACCGAGTTCGACATGTTGAAGACCGATTTTAATCAGATGAAGACTACTTTAGAGCGACTTGCGTCAATAGTAGAGTGTTTGAACACGGTAGGAGTTTAAAATCGCGTTGATGGTCGCCAACGACGTGATCCAACTCCATATGATAAATTGAACAACAACAATGATCTTAAGCAAGATATTAGAGTTGAGAAGAGCAGTGAAGAAGTAATAAAGAAAGAAGAACCACCTCCAAAGCACGATATCTTTCGTACGAGATCCGCCGTGATGCAGAAGATTTGTAATGTTATTATTGACAGTCACAATGGAAGGAATCTTGTCTCTCGGCGTATGGTGAATAAGTTAGGTTTGAAGATAGAGAAACACCCACCTCTCGTTAAGATCGACTGGATTCACAAGGGCAATGATGTGCAGAACGATGAAGTGTATTGGGTATCTTTTTCTATTGGTCGAACTTATTTTGATGAGGTTTTGTGTGATGTTGTCGAGATGGATACTTGTCATATGCTTTTAGGTAGTATAATGACCGTAAATTTCCTCATCAGTCAGGAAAAATGCAGTATTTCCTCCTATAACAAACTCATGAATTGTGAATTGTCCTTCTTCCAACAAAAAGCTAAAATTGCTTGGAGCATACAAGGGGATAGGTCCACCAGCTATTTCCACTCAGTCATCAAATCTAATAGACACCACAATAGAATTATGGTTCTCTATAACAGCTCTGATGAAAGGATTACTAAGGCTGATAATATTGCAAATGAGTTAACTTCTTTTTTCAAGAACCTCATGGGAACTACAGTTGTAACAACAAAACCTGACATCAACATCATAAAGAATGGATATTGTCTGAATGATGTCCAAGCTAGTTGCTTAGCTACTCCTGTTTCCAAAGATGAGATAAGAAATGCAATTTTCTCCTTATCTGATAATAAAAGCCCAGGCCCTGATGGTTTCAGTGCTTCCTTCTACAAGTCTACTTGGCAAATTATTGGAGAGGAGGTTACAAATGCCATTGAAGAATTTTTTAAATCTGGAAAGCTTTTGGGTGCAATAAATGCTACATCAATTACCCTAATACCCAAGGTAAACTGTCCTAAATCTCCTTCAGATTTCAGGCCAATTTCATGTTGTAATTGTATCTACAAGTTCATTTCAAAGATTCTTGCCAGCAGAATCAAACTTATATACTTGGTTGTCTCATAAATGAAGCACAGTGTGCTTTTGTTAAAGGAAGGCAGATCTCTAACAATATTTTGCTAGCACATGAGCTTGTCAAGAATTATGGTAGGAAGACTATTTCTCCAAGGACTATGCTGAATATTGACATTAAAAAAGCATTTGATACTATCAGTTGGAGTTTCTTGGAGGATATGTTAAATGGACTTGGTTTTCCAAAAAAGATGATAACATGGATCATGGCATGTATAACCTCTCCAAGGTACTCTATTTCTCTTAATGGTACACTTTATGGATATTTTAAAGGGGAAAGAGGTCTAAGGCAAGGTGACCCCCTCTCTCCCTACTTGTTTATCCTTGGCATGGAGTATCTTTCAAGGAGCCTTGATAAATTGAAGCATGATAGTTCACACAAGTTTCATCCAAAATGTGGAAAATTAAAAATTACACATTTGATCTTTGCCGATGACTTGTTATTGTTCAGTAGGGGGGACTTGAGCTCTATAAAGTGTCTGCATCAATGTTTATCGAATTTCAGTGTCATCTCTGGTCTTGATGCAAATCAAAGCAAATGTTCAATTTATTTTGGGGGAGTTGATGAATCTGTCAAAGCTTCTATTCAAAATTTCTTGGGGTTTCCTGAAGGTACCTTGCCTATAAGATACTTGGGAGTTCCACTTATATGCAAAAGACTTTCGTATGTTGATTGTTCTCCTCTTATCAATAAAATTTCAAGCAAATTTCAAAACTGGTGGAATCATAGAAAGCTCTCTTATGCGGGTAGATTGCAAATTATTAAGAGTGTTATCCTAGGCACTCAAGTATTCTGGACTTCATGCTATGTCTTACCAGTTAAGGTGTTAAAGAGAATTGACGAGCTTTGTAGGCAAGTATTCTGGACTTCATGCTATGTCTTACCAGTTAAGGTGTTAAAGAGAATTGACGAGCTTTGTAGGAACTTTCTGTGGGGTAGAACAGATCAAGTGCTCAGGCCTCCATTGGTTTCTTGGGACAAAGTTTGCACTGGTAAAATATATGGTGGTTTAGGCATATTTTCTGCAATTGCTTAGAACATGGCTGCAGTTCTGAAAACTTTATGGTCCATTCATGAAAACAAAGAGTCTATGTGGATCAAATGGGTGCATGGCTATATTACTGCTAGAATACGGGGTTTTGCCGACGGAATTATAGCGACGAAAATTTCCGTCGCTATAACCCGTGTTATAGCGACGGAAAATTCCGTCGCTATTATTCTGTCGGCAAAATATTTTTTGCCGACGGAAAAATGATTTTTAGCGACGGAAATATTTATCGCTATTAATTTAACTTTAGCGACGGAAATTCCGTCGCTAAAAAACTTTTAGCGACGGAATTTCCGTCGCTAAAAAGTTTTTTAGCGACGGAAACTTTTTAGCGACGGAATTTCCGTCGCTAATAAAGCTGAGCTGGCAAAAAAAATGGGCGCGGGCGTGCCCAAAAAATTTGGGCACCCCGCGCCCGAGAGAGCTCAAGGTACTCTCTCCTCCCTCAATCTGTGATTTCGATTGTAAAGGCCAAGCTACTTCTTTGCATCCACCGATAAAAAAAATATACTTATAATATTCTGGTGGAAATAACTGATTCTTCAATTCCAGTTATGATACTAGCTATTTAATTTTTTTGCTAGCGACTTGCATGGACTATATTTGTATAGGACTATATGTAGAGGTAAACACTTAAATGATATTGTCAGACTTTGTAAATGCATGGGCTGCAATCTAAATTATCTAAGTTGTTGATTCTGTACATTTTTGTACCTGGGGGACCTAAAAGACTGAGGGGCATTATCTGTAGATTTCTCTCGAGTATGACAGTGTGTTTTCTTTGATTTTTCAAAGTGTGAGAGCATTTCTAGAATTTTTGAAATTGTGACACAAATGAAAAGGATGACTTCTCTTAAATATAGTGTATATATTATGAAAAAAAAACATATATATAACCCTATTTTTTTGCCCTTGGAAAGTTAACATTTAGGAGACCTTTTGATGGTGTCCTTGTAAGATATATAACCCTATTTTTTTGCCCTTGGAAAGTTAACATTTAGGAGACCTTTTGATGGTGTCCTTGTAAGAAAGTTGTGTCCACATCCATGAATCAAACTCCTTCCCATTTGCCTAGTACTGTGTCATTTTGGATTTTTTAAAAGTAGTTCATCATTTGCTCCAAGGAAGATGCATCCAACTTCAATAATCCCTCCATAGTTATTTTCATCTCCTTTTCTAGTTGTCATCCTCAGACCTTTCCTACGAACACTCAACATATTCGTGTGTATTGTGTGATATGTACATGCATGCACGTATGATGCTCCTTGTGTTGACTTCTATTTGAGGGAGCTGTTCATTCTTTTTCTTTCAGTGAAGTGTCAGTTATGTTTGCAGGCACTACGGGAATAGTTGATTATTCGAACTATGATGACATGAAATATGCGGTATGTTATGTTTATATTCTTGGTTGACTACTTGCAGCTCAAGCACTTTGGCACAAACTTGAGTATTTTTTTGTTGACAAGCTTCATTTGTTTCTGCTTGCAGATCAGAAAACTTGATGATTCTGAGTTTCGGAATGCATTTTCTCGAGCATATATAAGAGTATGTAGTTCTTTCCACATTTTTGTAGAACTGATCTCTATTCGAGTACATATACTGAATTGTTTCCTGCTTGTAGGTTAAGGAGCATGACCATAAGAGAAGCTTATCTAGAAGCCCCAGTCGTAGTCGTTCTCATTCAAGGAGCCGAAGCCGTGATAGGAGGTCTCTTGTTGATTTAGTTGTCATGAATTTGAATCTAACTGCTGTCTCATTTGACCTAATTGAAGTTAATATGCAGCAAATCTCCCAAATCCAAGTCAGCGCGCCGTTCGTTGTCCAGATCTCGCTCGAGATCCATTTCTTCTCGCTCTCGTTCTGGTTCCAGAGGACGGTCTTTGTCAGGGTATGTCTTTTCATGGTCAATTGTGCTTTGTTTTTTAATCATAGTAGAATTATTTGTACTTCTTAATCTGTTGAGTTTACAATTTTCGTTAGATGGAATCTTTGCTTTAAATTTTGTTACTTTTCATTTTCTTGCCTTCTATGTATCAGGGTGTATAGTTTTTTTTTGTTTAGTAAAATAAATGGGAAGAACATAGCATAATTTAGTATTTGGCTTTACTATTTACCTCCAAGGAAGGATTAAATGTTCATTTAATCCTTCTTTGGTCCTTTGGTGAAGGATAGTTACAACTTCTCTTCGTCATGCAGTGTGCTTATTCAATGTATTTTCTGCAAGTTATCTTTTAAGCTGTCTTTGTCATCTGTCAATTTGTTTTCACCAAGCTATTCTTTTGTTCTTATTCAAGTGTTGCTTTGAAAACATATCATGAGTACAAACTATGGATTATAAATTATGAATAGTTTCATAAAAATCAAGTTGGTTGTCAATTTATGCTTCAATGCATAAGTGAATATGCTCTTATAGGAATGGCTAGTAATTGAGGACTAGGGGGGATGATACTTGTGCTTATTGAGATTCTACATTCATGAGAAAGATGTAGTTCATATAGTAGCATGCACTATAGGTTACCATGGACAGAAACTTGTCACACACGCTTATGTAGCTAAAATTAAAATTTGAAGGCAGATGGATTTCATCATGGCAGAAGATATGCAAGAAACCAGTGCATTCTTGAGAAGCCGGAGGGTGACTGGATTAAGAATAAAATGAGACTTGTAAAGGTTTAGACGCACACACAGGAATGATGTAATCATAGTTGAAGAGGCTCTGCTTGAATGATGTAATGTAGCTGTCTGGACTTGAAACATAGGAGATGATTGTAATGGAGCAGCATTCTCATTGTAGATTAGAAGAGAATCATTCTAATGTTGTCATTGCAGAACATTCTAAATTGTGTAAGTATAAAAACAAATAAAATTATATTGCTTGTAACTTGAGCGATGTGCTGTAAGCTTCAAACGTAAGTTTCGAAGTGTTTACCCTTCAAAATGTTTCTAAGTGAGTTTCAGAAAAGTTTTTTCAAAGTTTGGTTAGGGGTATTTTTTGTCAGTTGACAGCTGGAATGTGGCAAGCTGCTGTCAAATGTATAAGTGCATATGGCTTGTCTCAGTTTGGGGTTGGGAATAATTCTCAGGTAGATACCCAGTGCCTCTGCTAATGAAGCAGCTATGAGCATCATACTCAGTGGGGTCATCCATCCCTAACTGACTTAGATTACCTCTTGCTCTTCTTGATATCCTTTTTATTTTGAGTCTTAAATATTCTTCTGTAAGTCTTCTTTTGTTTTTTGACCCGGGTTTATCAGGATTAAAATTTGATCTTGATCTAATCAGATGTCTGTTGTTATATGTTTATAACTCAGTTCTCCAGCAATAGTCTCAGTCTTCCACAATAACTAAATATTTTTTGGCCATTTTATTTGGTCAGTATAGTAGAAATGTGAACACATTTTTTTTATCGTTGTTCTTACATTTTTTTGTTATCTTTTCCTTCTCTCTGGGAACAATTGTATATAAAATTGAATTGTATTGGAGACTGGCTACGAAACAGGTTACATCTCATCTGTTTAAAATTTTGTATTAAATATATAAGTATATAAATTAAATATATAATTCTTACTTAGTTATGAATTTTCTTCGTGACTAGATGATATCATACACACCGATAAACACTGATACAAACTGTTATACACAAACCCCTAACTCTAACCCTAACACAAAGCCCAAAAAATATACTTATAATATTTAGGATCTCTATATTTATTTCACAAGTACAGATGGTGGCTGGTTGCAGATTGTATAGACTTGGCACCCTAGATGGTAAAAAAGCTAGCTTTGTTCTTATATATAATATGTTTTAAGACTTCAAGTTAGACTTTTGTACGCATTACATGAAGAAATTATTACAAAATCAGAACTTGAGGAACAAGGGGACATTTTGTCATTGCTAATATATAATATGTTTTAAGACTTCAAGTTAGACTTTTGTCGACCTCTGTTCTTGAATAAAATAATTCAAATTCACACAAACAACATTTATATGAATGAATAAAATTTATCTAGGTATATAAAGTAAAGCAAGTTAGACAAATGTATGATTTCTCCACTTCTAAAGCAAGCAAGTGAGACAAATGTATGATTTCTGCTGTTAGAACTTTTCAAGCACCAAAATAAATTGGTTGCAATGTGGTTGTACAAATATATGCCTGGATAAGTTGCACGAAGTTACTAAAGGTTTTTAGTTCTTTGATGTATCATTTTGCTTGTATGTATCATTTTGCTTGCAATGTGGTTGTACAAATATATGCCTGGATAAGTTACAAGAAGTTACTAAAGGTTTTAGTTCTTTGATGTATTATATTGCTTGTATGTATCATTTTGCTTGTGCCTTAAACATATATTGCTTTATCAAATTTGTGATATGTATGCCACTATTAGGAAGTACTTAGTTATGTATCAGTGTATCCGCACCTTGGCCAATGGCCAAGTTTATTGTATATTGTAGTGTTTACTTGTTACTTTATAATTAGGTTCATCTTATGATATATAATGTGATAATCTTTTTGCTAGTCTTATGTTTTGGGCTTCGTGTCATGAAATTGCTTCCTATGTTATTCTAGTAGTTGATATACTATCTTGTGTGAACATAGATTTAGTCTTCCAATATTTGATATGAGGGAACTTTCTAATCTATTCACTTTTATGCTTCTAATATTTCTATAATCAAATCATGACCCTTTTTACTTCGATGGACACTACTTGGATATATGCTTACGCATGTTCTAAGTGTATTTGGTTATATAATACACTTTTTAAATCAATGCACCTGGCATATACTTCTTGGAACATATCCTCCAATGCACATACACTTTTTGAAACTCCGTAGAATATATCCTCCATAGCACATATACTTCGTGAAACTCCGTAGACATATAATGCATATTTTAAATCAATGCACAATCCAAGAAAGGACATGCATAGAGTTTAAAATACGACAAGTATGCTACAATATGCAGTGTTGTGGTGTGGTGTGGTGTGTAGTGTTGTGTTGTGTTGTGTTGTGTTGTGTGTTATTATGTTGTGGTGTTGTGTTGTTGTGTTATGGTGTTTTGGTGTTGTGTTGTATTGTGTTGTGTTGTGGTGTTGAGGGAATTATATTTATATTTGCACTCTTATTAACGGTTACACACCCTTATTAACGTTTGATTTATATTTGCAGGCGGGGACTTCTTCACAAGGTGTAGCCGGGGGTAGTCATAATGCAACTCGTGTTGAGGATGAGGATGATGATGATATGATCAGGAGGATTGATTCTGATATGTTAACTTTGAAAACAATTTCTTGTGTTGTATAAACAATATTTACTACTGATATGTCGGGAAACTTTTATTTGTTTTTATTGAAATAAATTTGTGATATATGCGTGAGATTGTATATTATACTGTTGATTGAACAGGTTTTTTAAATTTAGTATCGATATTGTACAGGATTTTTTCAATAATTTTCAAAATGTTTTTTTTAATTTATGATTATTTAGCTACGGATTTTCCGTAGCTAAATAGATATTTAGCGACGGTATTTCCGTCGCTAAATAAGTATTTAGCTACGAAAAACATGCACAAAAATAAATAAAATAATAAAAAAATAAATAATAAAAAATTATTAAAATTTAAACAAAATTAGCGACGGATTTGTAGTCGCTAAATATCCATATAGTAACGGAAAACATGCACGAAAAAAAACTAATTTGAATTTTTAAAAAAAACCACCGTCGCTAATTCGATTTTTAGCGACGGAATTGCCGTCGCTAATACCATTTTTAGCGACGGCAATTCCGTCGCTAAAAGTTTTATATTATTTTATTGCAAAATACTGCCGACGACTTGGTCGTCGCTAATATTCCGTCGCTAAAATTTAGCGACGAAAATTCCGTCGCTAAAACCTCAATTAGGGACCCTGAATGTAGCGTCGAAATTTTAGCGACGGAATTTGTTTTTTTCCGTCGCTAAAACTTTTAGCGACGGAAAATGGACTTTTAGCGACGGAAAATTCCGTCGCTAAAAGTTGAAAATCCAGTAGCGAGATGTGTGGAATGTAGAAAGCAAGAGGAATGATTCCTGGTTATGGAAGCAGCTTCTAAAAACCAGGAACAAAGCCATCTCAGATTGTGGAGGAATTGATAATTTGAAGAGTGTGATCAGCTCCTGTAACAAGAACTCCAAGATACACACTTCGGGCTTGTATAATGCCCTTTCTCCAGTATCTACAAAAGTTCTCTGGCATGATACAGTTTGGGAGAACTGGAATTACCCCAAACACAATTTTGTGTTCTGGTTAGCAATCCAAGACAAGCTTCTTATTCAAGACAAACTTCAAAGCAGAGGTATTATTCCATCAAATTGCTGCAGTCTATGCTCAGGTACTAATTTGGAAAATAGAAATCATCTTTTTTTCTCTTGTTCCTTCTCTCAAGAAGTCTGGAATGAGATTACAAATTGTCTTCAATTCAAATGGAGAACCTGTGATTGGAATTTGCTTATAAACTGGTATTGCAACAGATTGAAAGGGAGGGGTTTCAAAAAAAGATTTAAAAGAATGGCTTTGTCCACTTCAGTCTATTGTATTTGGAAAGAAAGAAATGAGAGAATATTCAAGCATAAGTGTAGAGCTCCAGAAGTGCTGATCAAAGAAATTAAGGTGGAGTTGTTAACCATTTCTCTAAACAACTCTAGCCCTCCTGAGCTCAAAGACTGGCTGATTTCATCATAGGGATAGTGTGCTGCAGTTTTTAGGTTTCTGTCTTCAAAATATAAATAGATATCTCAAATAGAGAGATGTGATGTACATAAACTTTACAATTGGTTTTAATGAATACAAAATTTTCATTGACAAAAAAAAATGACCGTAAATTTCTAATACGGATTTAAATAATTTTTGGTATTTAAATATTAAATATTATTTTTCTGAAAGAGTATTTGTATTTTCCCCTAATTTCTCTAGAATTTTCTATGATTTAAAAATACGGTATTATATTATTTTAATAGTTTTACTAATTATAAATTTAATTGTTTCGATAAAACTTTTAAATTAATAGTTACTTATTCATTATTGTTATTGTTATTATTATTTTGACCATAAATTTTCAATAATTATTTGAATAAATTTTTGGTATTTTTTTATTTTTTTAAAGGGGTATTTTCCCTGTGTTTTTCCTCTCACCGGTATTTCACACTATTTCTCACTCTCTC